ACAGGCCCGTGTACACATACACTCAAGCGGACACATGCACGCACACATATACATGCACATGCCTACGCATGCACAGATAAAACACACCCATGCACCCAGGCACTCATGCACATACATGCACAGCGACACAAAACACACACACCCTTGCACACTCATACACACATGCACGAGCACACAGACAGGGCAAGTAGAGCTTCTCTGTCCAAGATTCTCTGGTAACACCAGAGTGTTTTCCTTAGCTAATAGGTGCACCATGGATTTTCATTAAAGCGCTTGTACGAGCAGTCAGTAGCTATAAATGGCTAAGTGAAAAGGTTGTTGCAGCCACAGCAGATGTGGAGAATGTATAGTTGGGGTGGGGAGCCCCTGGTTCAGGGGTTAGGGTGGGCTCAGACCCCCCCAGAGGCAGGCAGGGTGTATAAGTAAGTCCCTGAAGGGCACCTATACAGCTAGGCCTTCTGAGGACTTTATTCAGCTGGGCCTTTGCTGGGAGGAGAGTTCTCACTCAATAGGGAGAGGTGTGTGTGTGTGTGGGGTGGGGTGGGGTGGGGCTCAAATGGGGCACTAAACCTCTCAGGACTTCAGTTTTCTCATCTGAGAAATGGAGACCATAATAGCACATCCCCCCCATAAAGCTGTTCGGAGGATTGAGATTATGTGTGTTGGGGATTCTGGGAACATGGCAGCCTGAATAGGGCCTGGAGCCACATGGTAGCTGAGACTTGAGGCCCACAGGATGTGGGTTAGGCCTTGGGCTCTGTTGAGAGAACTGGAGGCCCAGAGGCTCCCCCTTGCCCATAGGTGAGGTCACCACTGGGGAACCCCTTGCCCCCCCTCCCCCCCAGAGCTCTGAGACAAAGTCCTGGGAGTGGAGAATCTGGGAAGATTTGGGGTTTGGATCTATGTAGGCTTTCAAGGGTACATTTCAGCATCAACCTCAAGACTACATCAGTAGGAGGGAAGGGATGGGCTGCAGGACTCTGTCCTCGAGGCTGGGGTGGCTAAGACACCTTGCCTATGAACCATAGGCCCATGTGGCCTGAGACCCGCTACCTTTCCACTGCCTGTGGGATTCCTACAGCTAAGAAGCATCCAGCAACCAGACCTGAGTTCCATGGAGCCAAAGAGAAGGATAACTGCCCATCGAGGTGCTCAGAAGCCAGAGAGAACAACACTGGGCAGAGCGATCAGCATAGCAACTTCTGAAACAATCAGCAACCAAACTGCGTATTATGGTATAGGAAGCTTCCTGTTCCTGCTATAAAAATATCACCATAAATTTGGTGGCTTAAAACAATGGATTCTCTCGCAGTTCTGGAGGTCAGAAATTAAAAGTGGGTCGGCAGGGCTGTATTCCTTCTGGAGGCTCCAGAGGAGAACCCATTCCTTACCTTGTCTAGCTTCTAGAGCCCGCCCGTATTTCTTGGCTGTGGTTGCTTCACTCCAGTCTCTGACTCCAGCCTCTCTGACCCTCCAGTCTCCCTCCCATCTTCTAAGGACCCCTGTGATTACATTGGGCCCACCTGGATATCCAGGATACTCTTCCCCATTTCCAGATTCTAAGCGCACCTGTGAGGTCCCCTTTGTGGTGTAAGGTAATATTCACAGGTTCCCAGGATTAGGACGGGGACATCTTTGGGGAGTTTTTATGCGGCCCACCACATCTAGAGAAATAGAATGGCCAGAGCAAACAGGTCAAGAGCTGAGTAATAGTCATTAGAACAATAATTAAGTATTAAAATTCATGGAGCTGTATACCAAAAAAGGATCAATTTTATTGAATGGTCTTTTTTTTTTTTTTTTAAATACCCATTGACAATTTTAAAAGAAGAGGTGAGGGGAAGGAAAAAAATGTAAGCAGTGCTTATAGATGTTCACTACTTTTAAGCAAGAATGATTTTGACCCCAAAGTCAAAGGACATTGACCACTTAAATGTTTCTTGGAGCCCTATTATGTGCAGGGCCCTGTTCTAAGGGCCTGATGTATCTCAGTGAAGCTTCATTCAAGGGGAGACATACATAATAAGCTGCAATTTGAGAAAAGTAGGAATTTACATTCACCTGTAATATGGAACAATAAAATAATTTGAAAATGTAGCAGTATATTAATGTGATTATTTTTTTAAAGCCCAAGTATTGGTTTACTACATAAAACAAAAACTAAAATAAAAACAAAAACTTAGGGAAATGTACATGAAANTGTGTGTGTGTGTGTGTGTGTAGGGGGAGTCAGGCTCACTAAACCATGAGCAATGCCGAGATAAAAATCACACATTTTCAGGGTGTTAAAACTCAACTGCTTCCCCCCCCACACACACACACACTTTTCCCTCGATCCAAATGGCAGCAAAATATCTCCTCTAAATGATCTGGCCTTGCACTGTGCAAACAGTGCAGAGAAGAGCGAGTTAACATACCACCCCCTCTCTCTGATTTTAAATAGTTACAGCAGACGCTGAAACACTGTATCTACATGATTTCATTCAATCCTCATAACTGCTCTGTCAAGTAGATACTGTTATCACGGTCACCATTTTACTGGGGAGACAACTGAGGATCAGAGAGGTGGGGTCATCTCCCCAAGGTCACACAGTTACAAAAAAGCAGAGCTTGAATTGAACTTGGGCAGTCTGACTCCTGAGTCGGAGCCCTTTACCACTCTCCTACGCTGACCCTAATTTGGGGGCTTCCTGCTTTGGGAGGAGAGGGTGGCACCTAACCAAACAACACATGGAGAAAGGATTTAATTTTGCAAGTTCAAAAGGTGAAAACAAAAAGATCTTTTCCCCAGCTGCCTGAACAAGAGAAAAGAATTACAATTTGATCCTTAAAAGCATTCAATCCCATTTTGCAAGCCCTGGGAGTTATTGATTCCTTGAGAGGTCAGTAGACAAGCCATAAAAAAGCCAACTCTCTTATTTTGTTTTTGCAAGTCTCCGGGAGCTGCTGTTATTTGTGGCTTATCAGGGCATTGATTGGGGTTCCTCTGTGCGCACACAGCAAGCAGTGCTTTTTCTACCTGGGCTTGGGGGTCCTCGAAAGCCGCCTTTCTCCCCCCTTCCCTTTGGTCCTTTGCTTGTAGGTGGCATCCCCTTCTTGCCCACTCAGAATCACTCAACTCGCAGAGCCCTCGATACTCACCATGGTGGAAAGGACGCAGCACTGGTTCCCTAGAAGAATCCCACAGGCTGTCCACTGTTCTCTGCTGGAACAATAAATACTTCCTCCCCGTGTTTAAAAATAACCCCATGACCACTTTTGGCAGTAATAGGTGAGGCGGGTACCACCTAAGGCCCCCCCTCCCTGACCCCATGCCGTTCTTCTGAAGTAAGGGCAGCTCACTCGCCACCTGGTGACACTTGAGACCCAAAAAGGCATTCAAGGTTAAAGAGTCGGGTGGCTGGGTCACAGGGAGAGATGCTGCACCCTTTCTGCAGGGCTCGAGCCGGCAACACTTGTGCTTGTCAATTTTGAGAGGGAGAATGGTGGGGAGAGGAGTCTGTTAAAATCCTCTAACATCAGGCACAGCTCTGACCTCAGGGCCTTTGCACCTGCTGTTCTCTCTACCTGGAATGCTTTTCCATCAGAAATCTGCAAGGCTCTCTCCCTCACCCCTTCAGTTCTTTGCTCAAATGTCACCTCAGTGAGACCTCCCTCCCACCCTATTTAAAATAGTCATTCACGCTCTATCCTCCAGACCCCCTACTTGGATTTTCTCTACAGCATTTATCACTCCATAACGTTGTGGAATTCACTTCTTTTTTGTGAGGGTCTTCTTTAGTTTTCCTTACCTCTGCCTCCCCAGCTCCTAGCTCATGACTGGCACAAAGCAACTTGCTCAACACATGTTGGTTGACTGAAGAACTAACTCACAGAGCGCTTGCTATGTGCCAGGCACTGTGTACAAATGATTCACGCTCATACTGAATTTTTTATCCACCCTGTGGGGTAGGGACCAGCTTATCCTCTATGTTTCCATTTCACAGATGAGGAAACTGAGGCTGAGAGGCAACGTGAGCTGCCCCGGGGTCACACAGAGGTGGAGCTGGGAGTGGATCCGAGGCCCATTTGCTTCTAGAGTCTGGGTTCTAAAGGGCCTTGGAAAAGGCAGCTTGCCCCCTGGATGTGAGAGTTCGTAGTTGTTGCTGTCTCCCAGGATGGCTTTTCTCCTGTATACAGAGGCGTGGCGGTGATGGGCTGGAGCCTTCTCACATGGGCTCAGTCTCTGAACAGAGACTGGGGGAGATTGCTCTCAGCAGCGGGGTCAAAGGATGGTGAACTGGGAGTCTGATGAGCAGGAGCTGAGTGAGTGAGGGGGTCCGGGGCACAAGGTCAGGCCTGCAAGGGGGGCAGGGCAGATCACATGGTACAGCCTTGGAATTTCATTCCAGAAGCAAGAGGTGGGGGGCATAGGGAGTTCCAAGCAGGACCCTTTGCCTAACCCGTCCCCGGGCTGCCGGTGCCCAGGGACACCCTGAATTGGGAGCAAGAGGGCAGGCACCACCCCAAAGGAGATCCAATCGACCAAATCAACCCGCAAATATATTCTCAGTTGCTCTGATGTACTAGGACCTTCCGTGGATGTTGTTAGAGAAAGTTGGCAAGATCCTTGGCCCCCAAGAATGAACAAACTAGTTAATAAACAATGTGGATTTCGCTCTCCTTGCCCAGGACCTGAGTGGGGATTGTCGGAACATTCCCATTCAACCTTCAGCAATTTGAGGCAGTGGAGTGAAGAAGCGATTTAGCCCTCAGGCTGGGAAATCAGACAAAATTGCACCTGAACCCAGGCTCTGTGTGACCTTGGGCAAATACCTTTACCTCTCTGAGCATGTGAAGTGGGAACGATAAAGTATCTTCCTTATGAAGTTTTCTGGAGGGTGACAGGAGATGAGGCCCAGGCAGGTCCTCAGTAAATGGCAGCCATTGTTCACTTCCCTTCTTGGGTGAAAATAAAATTCAATTTTGGGGGCACAAACCCAAGNGGCCCCATCTCCTGGGAAAGTCTAGCCTCCTCCTCAAGGCATGATAATAAAAACCCAGAGCACAGCTCTCTCTGCCTGGCACTGCTCTGAGCGGCTTCCCTTTCAGACTCACTGTCACTGATTTCCCCTTCTAGCTCTCAAGGCAAAGAAGCACAGGACGAAGAGCAAAGGGGAGAGTTTTGAGAGCTATGAGGTGGCCTACCTCCGGCTGCTGAAGCTGACGGAGAACGGGGACCTGAATCAGCTCATTGAGGAATTTCTGGCCAAGGAGGAGAAGAACTTTGCTGGGTTCACCTACGTCATGGAGCTCAACAATGACATGGAGATGATGCATAAGAAAACCCAGAAAATCCAGGTCAGGGCAGCTGTTCTTTCCTAGGCCCGAGTCCCTCCTACTCCCACCGCAGCCTTCCCTAAAGTGGGCTCCTTGGAACACTCCTCTGCAGCAAAAAGGGTCTCAAGGTCAAGTCAGTTTGGAAACACTATATTTCCCCGTGTCCCCCCTCTACTTTTTAACCTTTCTGAAATTGGTATTTGTTTCAATTGATGCACACCCTTAAGGTGGTCATGTCCCCTCACCCCTGGTGACATGTATAATCTATGGCATGTTTTATAATCCAGGGTTCAGTAAACTATAGCCACGGCCAAAAATGGCCTGTGGCCTGTTTTTGTACAGCCCATGGGCTAGGAATGGCTTTTTATATTTTTAAAGGGTTGTGAGACAAAAAAATAATAATAATAATAAAAAAAGAGGAATATGCAGAGCAGACCATATGTGGCCCACAAAACCTAAGATATCTACTCTCTGGCCCTTTTGCTGACCTCTGTTAATCAACAGCTTCACAGACTTGACAGTAGAANAGTGTGACTACTCAGGGAATCGGATAAACCAATGTTCGAATCCAAGCCAACTGGTGACCTTATGCAACTTTCTTCCTTTCTCTGATTCTCAGTGTTCTCATCTATAAAATGGGCATGATGATTGCACTCACCTCATTGGGTTATCAGGAGGATGAAATTGGTTAACATCTTGTGAGCAAGTGATAAATGCCAGCCGCTGTGTTTGTTTGGGGGTACTTGACTGTTAGACCTGGGAACCCCCACTTGGGACCAGGAAGTTCCTAACCTTTTCCCAGGCCTGGAAAATGTGGTCTAACCAAGTGGAGGGGAATTCTTGAGTGGGAACAATCGTCTTTCCACCGACCATTTGAATTCTGCCATGGAGCGTCTCAGGGTCAGGGTCAGCACCTCTGTTTGAACTTGGACCAATGGCCTTTGCCTGAGTCCACTGTTTTCAATGGATAGAAGGAGGGCTTGGAATGAGAAGAGACAGGTAAGGAACGTTTGCATTTCTTTCTTTTTTTTTATTATTTATTTTTTTTTATTGTTAGTTTCAGGTGTACAGAATAATGCAATAGTTACCCTTTTCACCCTCACAAAATAACAACGTTTGCATTTCTATAAGCCTTTGATTCCTGCTTTTTGAAGATCACTGCTCCTGATATTTGTCTAAAGTAAACAGTAACATTTTAAATCTCACAACTATATATGGATGAACCTCCAAAAAGAATCTGTGCTGTTAGGACAATGGGAGGAAGTAACTGGGAGGGGCCATTAAGGGGTGGGGTTGCCAGGTTTAACAAAATATGTATATATACTGTATATAGAATGCTAGTTAAGTCAGAATTTGAGATAACAAGTCATTGGGGGTCTTTCGGGGCACTGGGTATGTTCTGTGTCTTGACCTGGATGCTGGTTACACAGATGTGTTTTGTTTGGAGATGTACTTTTATGACCTGTGCCCTTGTCTATGCACAGGCTACATGTCCACAAAACGTTAGATTAATACAATGTGAATGAATACGTTCTTACTATAAAAGAGTTTGAAGCATTTTTGTCCAAAAAGCTTCCTTTCTGTCAGTGGCCAAATCCTTTCCAGAGGGAACTGGCGTTTGTAGTTTAGCGTGAAGTCTTTCAGATTAGATTTTTAAAATTCTTTGTGCTTTTTTTTAAAATGGAGCTATACCTGTAGTAAAGGACACACCTCTTAAGCGCCCAGTGCGATGAGTTTTTACCTGTGCACACACCATTTCAACCCCCCCCCGAACATTTCAGCTCTCAGAGCTTTCCCGAGTGCCCTGTCCCTGTGAACATCCGTCCCCCACCCCTCCAAGTAACCACTTTTTGCCCTCTAGCACCGTAGATTAGTTTTGCCATTCTGAAAATAAATAAAACTCCTTTCAGACTTGTAAAAAACTAAAACCTTAATTTTCGAATTTACAGAAAAGTTGCAGAGTCCCCATGTACCCCCTCACCTAGTTTCCCCTAACGATAGCGTCTTGCTGGGACGTTGGTCACAGCCAAGACACAGACCCTGCCTGGTATATTACTGTTGACGGAACTCCAGCCTTTTTCTGGATGTCACTGGTTCTTCCACTGTTGTCCTTGTTTCTGTTCCAGGATCTAATCCAGGACCCCACATTGCATTTCCTGACCCCTCTCCCACCCCCTCACATGCACACACATATACATTTTCTCACATTAATATCATACCACACACATACATACATACACATACAAATACACATGAATGGCATCATAACACACACACCCTGGCCAGCTGGGCCTTTCTACTCAACAATGTGCCTTGTAGATCTTTCGAGAAGTCCCAGGCCCTCACCTCCGTGATGAGGATGGGTGTGTGTCCTCCCATCTGTGGCCAAGCAAGAAGCTGGTGGCAGAGCCAGGTCACACGGTGGGCACAGTTAATACATGCTTAGAGCACCAGTTGAGCAGGGGTGCCAAGAACAAAACGAAAACCCAGCACACTTATTTCGGAAAGGATTAAATATATTTTTAAAAAGGATTAAAATAGTCACCGTGGGGAAATCAGGACATTGTGGGATGTTCTTACACTAGTTTGGCCATTTCAAACTGTTTTAATCTTTCATTTTATATGAGGAGGTGGGAGGCCACATCTTTTCAATTTTGGGGTCTTTTAGAGGTTTTCATGAGGCCCAAGCTGGGGGCATTTTAAAAATTCATTTTCTTGGCAGGTGCTTTTTCCTCTTTAGCTCCCTGAATTCAAATCTAAGCCATTATATCCTACCTCATAAGGTTGTTTTATAAAACTTGTCAGCAGCTCAAGTAGTTCATATGTTAATATCGGTAAATTAAAAGTTAACATAGCAACATATTCATATTTAGGACAGAGCCTGGCACAGAACAGTGCCATAGAAGCTCTCACTATGAAGCCATTGGAAGCAACTGGCTTAGCAGGTCAACTTGTCTTGGGGCGTCATACCCCTTTAAGGGGGTAGTGAAGTCAGCCATCTCCAGATAGAACAAAGGCATACCAGGCCCTGCCAGCCCAAAGTGAGGTGGCTGATAGACTCTGTCACCAAGTGATAGCGCCTATCTCCCTGTGTCAGGGCCCCCAAGCGTCAGCGAGAGCTGCCAAGTGGGGAAGGCAGCTTCTCCAGTACGTCAGACCTGGGTGGACCAGGCCTTGTGTCCAGTGGAGATGAGTCAGCCACATTGGTGGGGCACCCACTGTGTACCGAGTGCAACTTGGGCAAGCAACATCAGCAAACCATGCCTCAGTTTCCTTGTCTGTGAAATGGGGACAATACAATAGTGGTCCTTCCTTCGAAGCGTTCTTGTGAGGTTTGAATGAGTTAACTAATACTTGTACAGTGCTAGGACATTGCTGGGCACACATTGAGTGTTCAGTAAATGTCAGCTCTTATTCCAGAGAGCTGGCTGTCACCTGTGTCCAGGGAGATGGGGTTGAAAGAAATAACATGTTCAAATATGAATTCATTTTCTCTCCTCTTCCTCTCCCAAACCCTTTTTCTATTAATGACTTTACCACTTTCCTAGGCACCCAGACCAAAATCCTCAGTCCCGTTGGTGACAGTCTGTCTGTTTTGCCTCTAAAATGTTTTGCAAATCCATTTCCCCCCATCCTGTCCCAGATCTGGCCCATGGCAGTAGCTCTTGATTGGTTTGGGGCTTCCCCTCTCTTGCCTTTCTTGTACTCCCACTCCAAATACTTTCCCCCATGCCCAGTTCTGATGATGACCCACACATTCTCCAGAATTCTCAGTAGCTCCCCACTACCTCAGAAAATCTCCCCTCCTAGGCTAAACAGTTAAGATCTTTTGCCACTTGACCCTGACCTACCAGAAGGGTGCAGTGAGGGCTGGGTTCCGGGTCAGCTCTTTCACTGCCTTGGCTGTGGGGCCCTGAACAAGAGACTTCACCACCCTAAACCTCTGATTCCTTACTTGATAAATTGGGAAAACAATAGTGCTGACCTTAGGAGATTGTTTTTAAAGTAAAACTAGATAATTGTGATGCTAATGAAAGCAGCTAACATTTATTGTGTACTTACTCTGCCAGGCACTGTGCCAAGTGTCCTCCACGTGGTAACTCACGCAATGCATGTAATTGGCTTTGCACAGTGTCAGGAGCAGAGCTCATGCACCATGAGTTCATGTGTGTGTATGTGCATGCTTGTGTGTGTGTGTGTGTATGTGTGTGTGTGTGGTTCTTATTGGTTACCTTTCCAACCTCATTTCACACTCCAGCCCCACCTCACCCTCCAGGTCCCTCATGCAAAGCTCTTGGGGGAAGATGCTCTGTGACACGTGTTGGGTACATTTCACGTATGGAGCTGTTGCTGCTTTCAGTGATAGCTTCATGATGGAGGAAGGATACACACAAGCTGGCTAAGTATGAGCGGGCATGTGCTGGGTCGTTGGGGGTAGGTAATAAGGACTGGGGAGAGCAGGGCTGCCCACCATGGCCACCACCCCGCCACTGCACTGTGAGCTTGCCAAACTGAGGTCCCCACAGAAATCAAATCATCACTATCCCACTTACCTAGAGCTTCCTGTGTGACAGACACTGTGCTAAGTGCTTTACCTGTCATCTTATTTCATCCTCACTACTATACCGTGAGGAATACTACTATTAGACCCATTTTCCAGATGATGAAACTGAGGCTCAGAGACGAGCAGTCACTCTGCAGGGCCCTCAGATCTGAACCCAGAGTGTCAGACTGAAGCACAGTGCTTTTCCTTACTCTGGTATTCAGGGCTTGGGGATCCGGACTCCGGCTCTCACCAATCCCAGAAAGCCGAGGTCTGATCCAGCTCTCAGCAGCCAAACAAGCCTTTGATGGCTTTTTCTCTCCTGATATTTTTAGCCTTTGGTCATCTGCTTTGTCTGTGTGGGGGACAGAGGCACCCAGACAATTCCATTTATACTGGTGCCCTTCAGATGCCCGCCTGCCCACCCCCACCCGCCCCTGCAGGCTCAGCTGTCTTGGTGGCGTGCCTGGCATTCTGGGGACATTGTTCCTCTTGGTGAGGCCCAGATTCTAACAACAGCTGCTGCCCTGACCTCCCCCCACCAACTCTTCTCTGCCCGCTTGTCAGAACCCCTTTTTCTGAGAGTGTGGCGCTGTGACAGCTGAACCTGTCACCAGTGCCCTCCTCTGGAGCTGTCTAAAGGCCGCGCTCCCGGCTCATTAGTCATCCGACCCGAGGTTCTTAGGTGAAGGACCTTTCAGCACGTCTTCAGGAACACACTGCACTGCAGGGCCAGGCCCCCTGTGTCTTCCTGGCACAGACACGGGCGTTCGTGGGGC